TCGTAAACTTGGCTAAGTTAGATGGGTTTAAAATTTCATAGGTATATTATTTTATGGCGATGCCATTGTGTGTAGAAACTATTTCGTTCTCTCAATGGTGTTGTTCATTATTTTAATTCGATCACCTTCTGTTGCGAAGTCAATCTATAAGTGCTGAAAAACATATATTTCGAGTTCGATGACGTCCAAAGACAATTTTTATTTATAAACACCACAAAGGTTTCCGCACCTGCGTCTAGCAACACCTGTCCTGTGGCTGACGCTGTGACGTGAGAGAAGAGGTTTAGAAAGTAGCACGCGCGTGTGCGTGTGTGTGTGCGTACGTACAACATACTCGCCTTATCACACATACACTCAGCCATTTGTATAATGCCAACTGATAGTGAACATTGCAATTATGTGCATCTCGGTTACGCAAGTTGCGGTTTATGTAATTCATAAGTGTTTTATGTAACAAATCGCCAGTGGAAAAAGTTCAATTTAAATTAGTTAAACATGCGGTTTGTTTCTAGTAGACTTATTCTGACTGTTGTCTTTTTTCAGTTTCCTTCGCCAATGGCAGTTTGTAAAAAAACTACATAAATATAAAGAGATTTGTATTTAATTGGCGTAGGTTTAGTTTAATTTCGTTTCAAATGTTTCAACACCATTAGCATTTTTACGCTGTTTTGTCTGGAAACGCCGCTTTGATACTATGTAACGCCGACATTTTGTCATATAGTATTACTGTATCAATTATAGTCCAATGGCAAATAGCATTAAGGTCCAGAATCGATTAAGATGGAATCGAACCATAAACCTCTACATTTGTAGGCGAGCACTCCAGTCGCTAGGCTTCTCAGACAAACCATTTCAAAAAACTGTTACTGAAAAAAATAACTTCAATTTGATTTATATTTAATTACGAATATATAATTATAAGCTACTAAAAACAACACTTGTTAAAATATGAATTAATGCATTCGGTCTGGATGTAGATAAGAATTCATCCTAACCTCAAAAAAATATCTCTTACCTAATAATTAATGATACTATCTTACAAAGGTTTGACGTTAATAGTAACAAGACCAGGTCTTAGACTGCTTCCTTATAAAATACAAATTACGTTAAAAACCAAACAAACGATTGAAAAACTCGTCCAGACGCCCAGCAAGAACAGCCCTTACCCTGAAGTGCAAAAACCTAATCCAAACCTGGTAAACACGATTGTACTCAGATTAGAACCTTCCTTAAAGAGATCTTCGGCTATACTACTTCCACGGGACTATATTTTTCAAAACCCGCAGCGGGTCGAACCCCCGCAGCGCCCAACACGCTACACATTATGTCCCTATTTGTAAAGAGCCTTCACAATACACGGATACTCTACTGAGAACCACGACCACTGACCAGCTGAGGTCAGGAACCTCCACTGGACCTGGACCTGCCCCAGGTCTCAGGTAGGACGATCTACGGTTGAAGAGTCCTCAAATAAGTTGTCATCTCACTGTCAGGTGAAAACGAGGGGTTCTAAAAATAAAACTGCGAAGACAGACGTCAGAACACACGCGGGAGGTCGAGAGAACAGGGTGTCCAAAATGTGGCTTTAAGTAGTTTAAGTCGATATGGAATATTTTTGCTGTTTCACACGTGGTGTTTCAGCACCTTCTAAAGTTTTATTGAACACTAAGTTCTTTTTATGCCGAATTACAAAAATACAATACTAACCCGAAATAACTAGGGTTAAATTTGATTTATGTCTGTAAAGTCTATTGAAATAGTGTGTTAACATTTTCATTTCTTTTCTCTTGTTTCACAAACCTGAGTAGGCAATGTATTGCTAGTATTTAAATTTGGAGGATGATAGTTCAATATCACGCGGGATCGAATTTGGATGGACCAAGATGACGCTTGTCAATGGGTTATCAATTTATAGAAGCTATTAAAAAAAAAAAACATGTTGAAGTTAGATTACTGTTGAGGCTAGACTTAGGACAGTTCTATAGCAATAAATATTTAAAAAGTACCCAATAGGTAGAAAATTTAAAAAGTCATACATAAACACGTGTAATTCCACCCACCCTTACGTAAAGCGTACGGTAACAACCTTATTAATGTTAAAACACAATAAATCGTATCTTCAATCTATTTTATTTTATGAATTTCATCTAGGCCTATAATCGGTTTTGAAAAGCACAAGAAAATGTTTGCTGTACGCTAAGAAAAATAGCCCTACTAAGTAGCAACCCTCCAAACATTTCTCCAACGGATAATTGATTGGGCAGCGCCGAGGTGGTCGGTTGCGCGCTTCGCCGGGAAGTGCATTGTGCGCGCTGGACCTTTATTCCGTTATCGCGCAATCCACCGAGTAATTTTACTTTGTAATGTACGTCACGCACCGACTAGGCTGCGCATCTCTCCTTACATTGTTTATTACATGACAGTCCTACAAGTAGGCCTACTCGCGGTGCTTCACAGTTCCTCTTGCCAAAAATTACTTATTGGAATACATTAGATTCATACGACGCTTATCACGGTGTGTATTTAAAGGATAATGTGATTGAATGGAGACTTTTCGGGACAATTTATTTGTCCAATGGCAAGCGCGAGCCCAAATTAACCTATCATTAAGTTACTGAATTTTCTCAGGATCGAGCCAAAAACTTCTATGTATAAACAGGCGAGCACTAAACCACTCAGCTACCCAGCGGTCCTCCACGCTGCAACTGAGGTCTTGATAACAATGAAAATATATTTCATCTTTAAAATTCAATTATGATGATATGCTGGACTAGGGTAAAAGTAGTGAATTGATGCTATTAACGTGCTCTCCTCAAATCCTAACAATCATTTAGGGGTAGCTTCGTCAAATTCGCCAAATTTATAAACATCTCGAATTGAGTTCAACTCCTGAGACAAAAATTATAAACCTAATGCGTAAGAAAAGTGCAAGTACCTTATCTTACTATTCACTGTGATTGGGTACCAGAAATGTTTACTATTTTAACTTGCATTAAACATTTTTCTGTAACATCTCAGACTAATCTTTGAAGTGGACGACTTGGTTTCAGCTTCTTCAAACAATGATCATATTCTCTAAGGCTAAAGAAATCCATCTTGAAATGAAAATGAAAATTATTTATTTGTACAGGAAAAAATAAAGCCACATGTCCCTTTCTTACACTTAGCCTTTACATTTTACGATCAAGTCAAGCGATTCACACTTGAATAATACCATTACACCGTATGGCCAGAGGTCCCACTCATGCACCAGAGTCCGTGACGTTGATGGATCTGTTTAAGCTGCATCACGAGTCCAGATCGCATCTCTTGCAGCTGGATGCACTCTTCTCACCGTTTATCCAACAATTACACTATGCACCCTGCTATTTGCTGATCTCGTGTTCCACAATTATCCGATGAAGACGTTCGTCACGGGCTGGGGACTCTGCCCCTCTGGCCCCCAGGCGCGACTCCGGAAATTCGCGAATGACACTTCATTATCGTTATAAAACAGCTACCAGCGAACGACATTGTTCAAACTTGGTTTTTCGCTCGTTAAGCACTGTCAAAAGGCAATGCGACAATGATACGAGTCGAGTTTTCATGAGCCCGTTATGCTTCCTGCTTGATCTTATCTTCAACAAGAGTTCCTTTGCACGCGTGGTAGCTCAAACGATTGTTGGGTCATGTTTTGAAGAGTATAATTTTAACTGTCTATAAATATTTGGCCTTGCCATTATGCATTGTTATTGTCTGGCTTGCTTTTAAAGACTTAGTTGTTTCTTCAAAAGTGCTCATCTTCAAAGCTGGCAAGCATCGATTGGTCTGAAGTTAAGGTTGTAGATAAACAATCGAAAATCATCCAATGTTTTGACCAAAAGAACATGAAAACCAAAGACGACTAAAGCAATCGAAGAAGACAATATTCTTGATTGTTTTAAGGAAAACCACGAACATTTGAAAAATATATGAACATATCAGGATAAAATAAACACTCAGTAACACACCAAATGTCTATTTTTGGGCTGGGGGTAAATTGGTTTTGATGTTTTGAACTGATACTTAAGAAATATTCTCTTTTTGTCTTAAGAAGTCAAAGATGTATACCGATTCACCAAAAAAGAGTGGATAATTGGTTAAACAAATGTTCAGTCAACTCAAATTCAAATTCAAATTCAAATTCAAATTCAAATATATTTATTTGTGATCATACAAAATCTTGGCCTCGCCAAGTTTGCAAAACTTGTCGGCGAGGTCCAATTGATTCACAAAAATTTAACAAACAAAATTTACATTTTTTTTCTTTTTTCTTTTTAACAAATATAAATATTTCTAGCGCTACTAATTCCATGGCGGTTTGTGGCAGGCACATATCTAAGTTGTACATAATAATGGCAGCAGAAATGTTCATATTGTTCTAGTTACGCCCATTTCATGTAATTCACATGTGTATGCAATTGTGAATAAATCGCATACTGCTCCTAAATCTAATTTAAAACCCAGACTTAACTGTCAACACATAGGAAGCCACTTGACCTTTAGCTAAGTTAAACTACCGTAATCATGCTAAACGAGTCCACCCCTGGATTCGTGTAATTTTATATAATGACGGTGACCAACCTTCTACAAGCGTGTATTAATACAACGACGCACGCTAGGGCACCTGTCTATAATGACACATGAACCTGTTCTAGTTGTCTAGGCGAATTATAGATTTAAATTGTGTTTGCGTTCCATAATGAGTGACCATTATTGATTTGGATTGTCATGAGTTTGAAATAATTATTTGTGTTGTAATTTAACAGCTATCTAGTTCAATCTTTCGTTTCTTATCCTGCACTGCTTGTGTTGGTCCTTTTTAAAGAGTCTTAGGTTAATTAAACTCTACTAAATAAAAATATATTTGCTCAACATTCCTTTATTTGTTGTATGTTTTTTTAATAGTGTAATAATAACTCTTCTTCACCGGCTTAAATGCTTCTGGAGAGTTGTAACTAATCTGAGTTTTTTTCTATTAGCAGCATCATCCTGAGAGGCCCCACATGCTCGCCGCCGCGTACGACCCATCTAGAGACCTGAGTCCCAACCTGCCCACCACCTGCCACCCGGCAGGCGACTCTATGTCCTCCTCCTCCACGAGCTGCTGCAGCTTCAAGACGGAGGCGGAGTTCACGCATCCTTGCCGCGACTGCGGACACTACGACCCGGCCTCCGAGGACCAGGGGTTCTGCCGCAAGAGCTGCCAACAAGAAGAGTTCCGTGAGAGGAGAGAGGTTCCTCTGCAGTACCACCAGGTGGAGCCCAAGCAGGAACCTCCTCCTCAACCTGCTCCTGAAGACGAGGACGTTGTGTGTGCCGGGTGTGGACGGAGGATATCCGACCGATTCTACCTCTTCGCCGTGGAGAGGAGGTGGCACAGTAGTTGTCTGCAGTGTTGTCAGTGTAGACGGGCGCTGGACGGCGAGATCACCTGTTTCGCCAGAGACGGCAACATTTACTGCAAGAAGGACTATTACCGGTGAGTCATTTGATCAAGTACCGTACTCGATAGAATTTAGTCATGTTTTGAAAAAAACCTGTGTTCTTGATTGTTTTCGTAAGTTCAACATTTCTCCTAGCATCGTAATGATTTACGTTGAAATAGTTTCCTTCAATACTCTACGTTGACTGGGAGGAGGCGGTTTCTAGTGGAACGTGAAAACATAATTATGTCGAGGCTTGTTCTTGGTGATCTCTGTAGAATCCCTTTCAAGGCCCGGATGCATTGCAAACAGGATTCATCTTTACACATTTACGCTAAATGGATTTAGTGAAATTGTACTACAATCAGGTAATATAATTTAAGCACGGAAATTATAAGGCTAATATGGAAAGAAGAATTACCATGATATGTAACAACCTACACAATCTAATACTGTTTTCCATTTATAAACGTGCTATTCTCAAACTGTTTTCATCATAACTACTGAAACCTTGTTTTAGTGCTAGGAATTATGACTTCAAAAGTCAATAAAAACTTATTTCATTGCCATAAACGTGGAGAATCTAGATAATAATGAACACGATCGTAACTCCAGCAAGGCAGGACATAAACTATGTAATGAAACAAAGTAGACTGGTGTATGACAAGGTGCCGTGAGCAGCTCTGTAGTTCTGTACATGCGATAAATTCAGCATTTCCATTTATAATTACCAAAAAGTACCCGGTTGTAATGTTTTACATATATCTTCTTATATTGAGTATGTGAACAAATATTGAAGTCTAGAATCTTCATTCAGTCAGTTCGTACCCTTCCCAACTTAAAAAGAGTTAAGGGAACAGAAACTGGCCATACAAAATGCAATACAGTATGGGGTTACGCTAGGTGGGTAGATAAGTGGTTACAGTACTCCTCTTTAAACTAGTCGGTCTCTTGTTGACAGTTCGGTACTGAACCCAGTCGACCCTGGTCATCTTGCTACATGTTTTTGGCCAGAGAACCAAATGATTTTGGCCAGAGAACCAAATGATTTTAGTCAGTAAAAAACTACCATCTCATCCATTTAACACTCACCGATAAAGTTATCTGGTGTCCCGGCGTCGTACAAATATACTACCTTTTGTAGTGTACTCAGCATACCACCAAGGTAGACTATGAGGTCTAGGTTCTTCCTCAACTTATAACTCTCAAACCCCCACTCAAATAAGAGAACAACACAGCTTAGTCCATTGCTACCACCTTCCCAGAAAGATCCAGCAAATTCAAATTAAGACATGGAAACCTCCATGAAAGCACAAAAAGTTGGAAATCCGACATCCCCGCCAGGATAGATTTGTGTTGCCGGGTTCCGTTGACACGGCAGCAATGTTGTGCGTTTAATTACCGGGAACAGGTCCTGTTACATCCCAGGGCCCGGGCCCCGGACTCCAAGGGCCACCCAGGGCCTTGTGGGCGTCGTCGTGGGGAGCTGCCGTGTTGTGACTCTGCCACATTTTTGTCAAACACTCCCCGTAGGCGTTACCTCCTGTATAAATCAGGTGCCCGCTGCATACGTAATGTCTCTGGACGCGAATTTGTCTCTGCACGAGCTGTTGCTGATGGCGAGATAACATTCCCGAGAATCATTAGGGTGACTTAGAATTCTCAAGTCGCTTCCAACATTCGTTCAACGTTCTTCATTGGTGGAGTGAATAAATATAGACACTTCAAAATCCAAAAGGTGTAGGGTTGGTACTAAAGTATTGGATGGGAGCTGAGTGAGTAGATTTGCATTGGTCTCCCTCACAATCAGTAGGCTACCAGTTAGATCATTAGAAAGACGGTAGTACTTACTGGTTTGAAACTGGACCCGCTGTCTTTGTCCATTGATCATTTCACAACAGTCCTATCCAAATAAAAAGTTAATATATCAGCTATTAAAAGCTGCACGTGACGTCTCAAACATTGTATTTATATTCAGCAATGCTGTATGGACACAAAGTACGCCGAAAGTAATTAAATTATTGTGCCCAACATCAACCATTTGAAATAGGTTCTGTCAAACATGTCACCAGTCATGTATCACACCGTAAGATCGTTAAGATCGGCACGGAAGAACAGCCAAGTTAATGCTCTATTGTCTGATAAGAATGTCACAATCACTTGGCGTCTCTAGATTTGCAATCCATGCGATCATTTTACGATCTTGCTATCACACAGACATAAACACTTACTCGCGCAACCAATTGCTAAAGGGTTTATGAAAAGAATCAATAAACTTCTGACAATACCTTTTGTACTACAGAACAGCTTGGGTAACAACTCAGAAAAAACAATTCAATACGCTCAATTCTGGTGCACCAGACCAATGTTCTCAAAACCGATCCTCTTCTTCAAATCCCACTCTCAAACTATTAGGGGATAAAACATAAATAGATTCACTAAGAGAAGACGCCTGCACAGCTGGCTGGATTGGACACATTTAATCGACCAAGCGAAGAGCTTGAACCAATTACTGTCCTGTTCACTTAGTGTTTGCTTTCGTTCCGTCTTATGGAGTTTGACGTTACACCTAATTTTAAACAACACCTTTATTCTGTCAACCTATTACGAGCTCACAGCCTTTTCGCGCTCCAGAGGCTGCTCAGGTTCTTTTGGGTCCGTCTACTTGAGGTAACCTTTCAACAGCCATGGTATTTTAAAAATCTTAAATTCGAGACATATAAAAACTTTATACAACAACATATCCTTATAAAACAACGACGATATAACAACTAAATAACCCTGTGTACATCCAACACACACACAAGGCAAGTATAATTACCTAGTTCCTTATGAATCAATTACAATACTTAACGTTGACTAAGAGGTACAATGATGTATTCCTTTTGCATTGCCACAATCCATAGCTTAGTATGTTTGAGAATTCACCTGTTATTCTTGCACAAGCTCAGTTTGAAAGTCTTCTATTCAACAACAGACTCAAAGCCCCTAAAAAAATAGTTCGAAGTGTGGAACATGCGGCTAAACACGCATAAGATCCCAGACCATCCTGCTAAAAAACGGAGGCCAACAATAGTATAATATTAATAGTTCTTGAAGCAGGGAAATACAACCAATGATTTGCAAAATACACACATCAGACAAGATATTTTACTCTTGTATGTATACTTAACAAACAAAGTAACCTCAGCATATTAAATAGCAAATGTGTATGCAAATAAGTATAGTAAATTCCACCACCTACAATGACAATGAGGTATTTGCTATCTGCGGTAGCCACAAGTCGGGCGCCCGATGCCTCCAGGCAACGCTGCAACGGTCAGCACCAGCTCCACCGTAGATAGCTGTAATGAATCACGCTCAACCGAGACTGGCCACAATAGGCGACTTGATAACATATCAGGGTTACTAGACTAACCCCAGCCCTGCACAATCTGATAGCACAGACCACGACCAGCCTTCGTGCAACTGCTGATACGGTTTTTGCTGTTACCCAAGTTGTAATCATTGACGGAATACGTGGTGACATGGTGGCATGTCGTAACATGTGTTGACGTTGCTATTCAACCGGGGTGGTCAGTTATCAACGTTGTCAGTGAATCAACTAATTATTTGTGATATATGATCGTATTTTTGGCTAATTAGTTTATAAATTCGTGGTGAAATGTTTTTTATATGTTTTCCCGATGTGGTAACATCCATTGATAATGGTAATCAAACCTTAACCTTCACCATAACACTTTCTAGTTACTCGTTCTAGTTACACTTTCTATACTCCAATAGCAAACTCTGTATGTAGATCATTTCATTTAGTTGATTTTCATTTAAATCCTTACAACAGCTTTACCGAGGGTTGTCTGCTTCTGTCCATGATCAATGTTTGTAGACTATAAAACTTTACGCGTCATGTATATTGATGCTCCAAGTAACACATTACCAAATGTCGCAATCATACTCATACAATTGTCCTACCCATACATTTTATACATCAGCGCAATCTGCACCATTCGCCGGTAGACCATGGCCCTCGTTCCAGCCGAGATGTCTCGTCCAGATGCCCACGAAGGGCGGTCACATAAACAAGGGGCTCGCATTATCACGATGTTCTCTGTACTGGGTACGCTGTAGCACGTGTAATGATAGGCTCTACCTAGCGGTCCTAGTTATCGAGTTGAGAGTGTCCCGGTGAGAACGGAAGTCCCGAGAACAATGAATGAGGAGTCTCTGGTCTCGTATCTAGGCTATCCTTCTCCCACAATATGCATATGCATGCCGCAGTTCAGGGTGGCGAGTTGTCAACCTCATCTGCATTTCGCCGTCCGAGATGTCTAATTGGTTCAGGGTGCTGGGGAAGAGGATTTCTCCGGGCATTTTAGAAGTTGAAATATCTGTGATCTTGGAGTTTGGACCTGTTAGGTCTGTTTTTGGAAGTAAGTTAGTTTAGATGAGATCTCTATCACGCCAACAAATTTGGTTGCGGATTTTAATGTGATGACAAGTATTGCAAGAATAAGATACATCTTTTCTACTTACAACGATCAGATGGTTCTTGATACAAAACATAGTTAATAGGGTCCATCAAGGACCAGTCTATGGGATAACTCTAAATGAACATACTGGGTTTAGTTAGAACCATCAACAAGCTAAGTTTTCTCAAGTGATTACCAGACAAGAACTATAAACACTCACCTATGTGAATAAAAAGCTTCATTTTTTAGTTAAGTTTTGAATTTCTTCCGACTGTTTGTTCTAGAATCAAGAATTATTAGTAGGATTGCCGATAAGGAAATCAGTTTTGCTATTTTTATCCCAATAATTTCCTATACTTGCAAGCAAACTCATAGCAAAAATCATTGTTAAAAAATACGCACCAAGGTGACGTCGCTGTTTTGAGAGTCTAAATTAAATCAGCATCTGATGGGTGAACTATTGTAAATAAAAACTTACTTTTTTGGTTATAGAATAGGAAAAATATACTAAAACATTCATATAAGACTGATTTATTGCTAAAATAAGTTTAACATGGCAAAATGATTCGCCAATATCTAACTAAATA